TATGGAACACACTAAGGACGGGGCAGGACTGGAGCCTTTGTCTCCCTCTCCTCCATGTGTGGCTCTCCCAGAGAACCCTCATGTTCTATGTGAACATGCCTGAGTGGGCCAACCCTACTCCTGCCTTCCCTGAAGGCACTAAGCAGGTTCAAGTTAAGCACTGTGCTACCCAATGTCCCTGCAGTGACTGCCCCACAGCACCACTCTGCTCTTACACCTTTGCTATCTCTGACTACTGCCCCAGGGACTCAGAACCCCCACCTAACCAGAGAAACAACCGCAAGACCTTGTCCTCCTTTGCAGCTGACTTGGCTCCAGTTCCTCCCAGTCTCCACAGTGGCTCTGAGAACCCCCAGGGTCCCCGTCCAGGGACCGGTCACCGGAATCGGACTATCTTCTCCCCAGGGCAAGCTGAAGCACTGGAGAAAGGTGCTGAGTGGGGTGTGCGGTGGGACAGGAGGTCTTTGGTATGCCCGGGGGCAGTGGTCCTGAAGCCAAGGTTGAGGGGTATAGGCTGTGGGTAACCCTGTCTGGGGAGGAAGGGAGTTGAGGGTTGTAGCAGGTGGCCAGCCAGAGCTGAGAGGGAGACCCATGCCCTGCTCCTCTGCCTTTGCCTAGCCATGTGAGTCTCCATCCTTACAGAGTTCCAGCGTGGACAGTATCCTGATTCAGAGGTCCGTGGAAAGCTGGCTGCTGCTACCTCTCTGCCTGAGGACACGGTGAGGGTGAGCCAGCCCTGGGACACAGTGTGTCAAACTTTTGGGAGGAAGGGTCCATAGCAGCCAGGGCTTTGGGTTCTGAGTAAAGTGAGACAGGAGGATGAGAAGGTAGGAAGAAACCTGTCTGAGCAAAATTTGGGGACAAGCCCTTCCTTGTCATCTTTTGTGGATCGCTCTACTTTTGTAGCCCACCTTGTTATGTTCAAGTTGAGGTGGGGGACAGAAAGTAAAGGCCAAATGAAGGAAGGAGAATATTAGAGGGAGGACCTTCATTCTGAGGCCAGACCAGGAACATGGAGTGAGAGCAGTAAGTGCAGGCATCAGAAAACACAGCCAGACACACGATCCCCGGCCTCCCCCAGGTCTGGTTTTCCAACCGAAGAGCCAAATGGCGACGGCAAGAGAAGCTCAAGTGGGAAATGCAGCTCCCAGGTGACTTTCTTTGCATCGCTATTCCATCTGTCCATCCACTCATCCACCTGTCCATTCTGACTGTCCATCCACTCATCCACCTGTCCATTCCATCTGTCCATCTGCTCAACTATTCATGCATCAACCAATCCATCCATTTAGGAGTACATTTACTCACTTACCTTCCGCTCATTTGCCCATCCATTGACCATCCTTCTGTCTATCCACCCATCTGTCCACCCATCAATCAGCCCATCCTCTCATATGTACACTCATTCAAACATCCATCCACTCATTCATCTATCCATCCCACCCAATCTACCCACCCATCTGATTATTCAGCCATCCATTCATCTATCCACAGATCAACCAATCCATCCACTCACATATCCATCCATACATACACTCATCTATCCATAAATCACCCAACCTATTCACTCACACATTCATCTACTCATTCATTTACTCACCTACTCACTAATCCACTTATCCATCCACCTATCCACTTTTACATAGCACATCTCATGGGATAGGTCTTGTGCCACATATTGGGCTGACATGTAGTGCCAGATACCAGTAGCCCTTCTTTCTCAGCACCTTAAGGACCTACCTGGACAGAGCTGGAGATTTTAGGATTGTAATATCCATTTTTTTCCTATCCATCCGCCCCCATCACTGCTTTTCTTAAACTCCTCCTGCATCTTACTTCCCTGTGTTTTTTCATGCTCTCATCACTCCTAATCTCAATCCTCTAATTGAATCATTTCTTACCTGGCAGCTGTTTCCCAGGGTCTGACTATACCAAGGGTTTCCCCAGGAGTGATTTCTGCACAGGTACTTGGTTGAAGTGGGAAGTTGGTCTGTTTTCATTGTCTGATATGGGAATGGCACCCTCTAGAGTCCTGCGGGAGACAGTCAGGGTGGCAGGTAGCCCTGGGGTCCTGGGTCTTCTAAGTAGGAGTCATAACTGGTGGCTGGTGGGCGGGGGGATCCTGCTCTTGTTTTTCTTCCCCTGCAACAGTCACCTGGGAGTGTGCCAATAGCACCCTTGCCTGGCCTGGAGACGATGGGTCCCTCCTGCTGCCAGCTGTGCTGTAGGACAGCACCAGACACGTGTCTGAGTGACACTTCACCCCAAGTCTGTCTCAAGTCCTGCTGGGGTAAGAATTCAGATCAAGCCTCATTCCAGCAGGATGTGGGAAGGACACGGCTCTGCACTTGGGGGCCATCAAAGGATCTTGATGCACCTGTTCTCTTCCTTGACCCATAAGCTGGGGAGACCGGTGCTCCCTGAGTCTGTGGTGGAGAGCACTGAGAATCATAGCAGATACAGGAGGTTTGAGTGTGTATTCAGGGTAAAGGACTGCTATCACAGCCCCTTCTGTGACATCAAGGGACAGGGTGGGGGCAGCAGCCTTGCTAGCCTGCTCCCTGTAGTGTGCTGCTTCACAGCTTTGCCCTCCTTGCCCTGCCCTTCATTCCTCTGTCTATGGTCCTGATGCCCCTGTCTCTGCTCTGGGTTGGTTCCCCACTACTGATTGGGTAGGAGTGAGGCCAGAGGGCTGGACTGGGGTGGAGAGGGCAGAGCAGGCTAAACACCATTGTGCCTATTGTCCTTGTCCTGCCATGCAGAATGTTGCTCCTTCCTCTTGCCTGTGGTCCCTCCCTCCTCTGTGACGCTTGCCTGGCCCTGACTCAGCGCCTTTCCTGTGCATCACCTGGTTGGAGGGACAGGAGAAGTGACAATAAATTCTCACCTTGGCCTCAGGAAGCCTCCACTCAGCAGTAATAAAACATTTTTGTATCAGCAGTTATTCCTGATGTCCATTATTTCCCCCAGATGACCATCCTCATTTTTTTTAAGATTTATTGATTTTGGAAAGTCAGATTTACAGAGAGACAGACAGACAAAGATCTTCTATCTGCTGGTTTACATCCCAAGTGGTCACACTGACCGGAGTCGAGCTGATCCAAAGCCAGGAGTCTGGACCACCCTCATATTTAAGGTTTAGTTTATCCTATCCTATCTATCTTCAATCATCTGTCTAATGTATTTTCTTATCTGTATATCTACCTATTTCACCAAAGCAAGCATTTATCTCTACTTTCTTTATATGTATCAATATATATGTATATATTAGTCTATTTCTCATTACTGTAACATACTAGCTGAAAGTGGGCATATATAAAGAAAAGAGGTGGGGCCGGTGTGATAGCTCTCCTGGCTAATCCACTGCTCATAAGCACCAGCATCCCCTATAGGCACTGGATTTTGTCCTGGCTGCTCTGCTTCCCTATAGTTCCTGCCGACCTGGGAAAGCAGTGGAGGATGGCCCAAGTCCTTGGGATGCTGTACTGACGTGGCAGACCTGGAAGAAGCTCCTGGCCTCTGACTTTGGATTAGCTCAGCTCTGGCCGTTGCAGCCGTCTGGGGAGTGGAGCAGAGGACAGACCTTTCTCTATCTCCTTTCTGTGCATCTATCTTTCCAATGAACACAAATCAATCTTAAAAAAATAAAAAAGATAAAGAGACCTGACACGGTAGCCTAGAGGCTAAAGTCCTCACCTCACACACGCTGGGATCCCATATGGGTTGCTGGTTCATGTCCCTGTAGCCCTGTTTCCCATCCAGCTCCCTGCTTGTGACCTGGGAAGGATGGCCCAAAGCCTCAGGCTCCTGTACTCATGTGGGAGACCTGGAAGAAACTCCTGGTACCTGGCTTCAGATCAGCTCAGCTCTGGCTGTTGCAGCCACTTGGGGATTGAACCAGAGGGAGGAAGGTCTTCCTCTCTGTCTCTCCTCCTCTTGGTATATCTGACTTTCCAATTAAAAAAAAAAGAAGAAGAAAAGAAAAAGGGAGTTTCAGGCTTTGAGTTTTGGACAAGCAGGGAATTCCAGCAATTGGTAATCTCACTGTGTTCCAGTGAATTTATTTTTATAGTCACTTTCTTTTATGGTTAGTGATTTTATTTTTCATTTTATGATAGTGATAAAAATATTTCTTTTAATGTAATTGTCTATAGAAATCTATATCAATAAAAACATGAGTAGAGCAGATAGCAAGCAGAAAATGACTGAAATCCTGAAGACAGTGCATGAATTACATTTTGGAAGTCATGCTTTAAAAAAAAGAAAAGATTTACTGGAAAGCAGAATGAGAGCAAAAGCAAGCAAGTTCTCTTTCATCGGATTCACTGAATGGCTGTATCAGCCAAGCCTGGCCAGGCTGAAGCCAGGAGCCTGAACCCCACCTGGGTGTCCTCTGTGGGTGGCAGGGGCTCAAGCACCTGGGACATCTCCCACTGCATTCTCAGACGCATTAACAAGGAGTTGACTTAGAAGCAGGTACTCTGATAGGGGATGCTGGCATCGCAGACAGCAACTTGACCCATTGTACCACACACTGGCTCTGACCATCGCGCTCTGATGGGAAGTCAAAGTATGTGAGGCATTGGCTAGCTCTGTGGGATGCTGGGCAGATCAATTGCAGCTCTTGCAAAACGGTGAGAAATGGTGGAGGAAGCAGTGTCCTGCCCACTTCACTGACTCAAAGGAACTGATGGAAGAGCTGAGAGGGTGGACCCCACAGGAATAACGTATTATTACTATTACCCTATACCCACAGGGCTACCAATCCGTCGTCTGTTCTAAACTCAAAACATACATAGAGTCACATCCAAATTCTGAGACCTTGAGGGTGAGGCTGGCTCCCATGGGAAATGCCCAGAGGCTCTGGGTGGCAGGAAAGGTCAGCAGAACTGGTGCTCGGCTCACGTCCCCTCTCCTGGCTGGCATTCAGGGAGCCTGCAGCCTCTTGTCCACCCTCAAGCGGACCCCTTGTTTTCTCCGAGTCAGACATGCACAAGCACTTTGGGTGGCCCATTACGTTATATTTTTGCTTGAAACAGATGTTTTGCTATACTGGGTAGGAAAAGTTGTATAACAGATAGTCTCTTGGTTCTTGACTCCGGGGTTCCCATTCCATTTAGGGCAGTAGTCATTTTGGGAAGATTTGTAATTTGGAAGGTGACACTCCATGGACCTGTGGAGGGAAGAGGGAACAGAAACTTTCAGCAATCAACTGAGGCCAATTCTGGTTTTTAGAACACCCGGAAGCATCCTACAGGAAGAGGCAGAATAAGGTGCTTTTCCCCACACTTGCTAAGGATTAGCACTGCTCCTATGTGCAGTTAACTTAAAAGAATAAGCAGGAAATAACATGAATGATGCAAAAAAGTCCGTTGCGGTCCCAAGGGAGAATGTGGTAGGCAGGAAAGTTGACCTAGACCTGGGACTGGTTCGGGAATGACTCCTGAGATGTGTGTGTGTGTGTGTTTACAAAGCATCTCATGCTAATTATCTCAGCACTCTCCACCACAATCTGTGAGATCAGTACTGGGTTCCCACTCACTCACAAGAAGCGGGCTTTGAGTTCACTCGGCTAAGGTCAGACAAGTGGGATACTCTGCATCAAAAGGAGTTCTTAGCCACTCCCAGGCACTGCCTGTAGACCCGCTCCCAGGCACTGCCTGTAGAATGTGAGGCTCTGAAGGGAACCTGAGAAATTTAGATTTAGGCAAACTCTTCATGGGATAAGAAAATGGAGGGTTTGGTTCTAGTTTGGCTCATGTAAGAAAACGGAAAGTGGGGAAACAGCACACACATGTCAAACGCCTATATTGAGCTTGAGATTGTCATTTAAACTTTGTAATACCCACTGGGTAGCTAGTATTCCTATTTTCCAGATGAGAAAACTGAGGCCTTGAATAGCAATTTCCCTAAGGCTCGGCAACTGGGGAAGACTGAAGCTGATCAGCTCTTGAATCCACATCTATCAGAGATCTTCAAAATCTTTGTGATCTAATTTAGGAAATCAAGGACAACCATAGGGACGGAACCCCCGCTGGGGCAGTTGGAGCGAAGCCGCAAATTATGTCAGCAAAACAAAGAGGATGGCAAGAGGAGATGGGCTTGGGGATGGGTCTGGCTGCAGGAGGCACGGAGCTGCTGAATGCTGGGAGACAGACAAGCTCTTGGTGATACACTTTGGACCAGAGGAAGCCATGGGTATGGTGAAGGAGCAAGCACTCGACAAGTGTTTTTCAGGAGCATCCAGGAATTGGCAGAGTTTGAGGAAGGGAGTTAATTGGAGAATGGAGAGGTGGCACTGAAATTTGAAGCCGAGCTCGGGACGGTGGTGGCTGACAGAGCTTGGAGACGCAGGCTGCTTACAGCTTTGAAGACCAAGTCATAGAGATTGCTGTTTGAGAAGTGTGAGACAGAAGTAGTCAAAATTCAGGAGAAACACTGGGGCTGGACGGGAGAATCCAAGAGCCCAGGGGAGGTGGAGATTCAAAGTAGAGACTAGAAAGCACATATTTCCCCAGTTTCACACCCTCAAAGCACCCGTCTTACTTAGGAACAGGATAAAATTCTGCATCAGTGGCGAGCGATCCCCCAGCACACCTCCCCGCCTCCCGCGTGCTTACTCTCAATCACACACACCGGAAACCTAGACCTCCTGTCTTCTGTTTGATGGTGGCCATGCTCAGGTGCCTGCCAAGAACTCCACAGACCTGGATGATCCAGTGGTGAGGTAGGAGGAGTTGACCAGGCAGTAAAACAGAAGTTAGTCTGGAGTAGTTGTGGATCTCCCTGCTCCAGGGCCATCATCTCTCTCCTCTCAGTCCTCAGTTCCTGTCCCCTCCTGCACCTCCACATCCTTCCCCACATCCCTTTACCTAAAATTCCCAGATACACTCTCTGGTAATATCTTCGCTGTCTGCCAGTAGGGTGCCGCTCCGATCTGCTCGCATGTAGAAGCCGTTGGGCGCCAGGACGGTGAGCAAGTTGCTCCCCAGAAGCTCTATGCAGAAGTTGAGGGCAAACTTTCCCCAGGGGCGAAAAGTGCCAAAGGATGTTATTGACCAAAAGGAGCCACCCTGTGCTGGGGAGGGATGAGAACAGTTGGTGGGCTGCTTGGAGGGGGTGTCCTCCAGCAGACCTATTTCAAAGGGGAGCCTCCTGGAGCCACACCACCCGCCATGTCTCCCAACCCTGCCAGAGCTGGCAGAACCCTCTAGGGAGATGCAGGGGGGCCTGAAACGATCCCACTAGTCTATCCTATAGATGCTAACAAACAGAAAACTCGGGTTCCCTTCTGCAGTGTGTGATGAGCAGGCCTCTTCCAGGCCTGCACTGTGAACCCTGCGGTAGGGAAGGGGAGCCACTCACCCTGGAAGTGGTAGATGCCCTGGCGACAGGGGAGAAGGTGGATACAGTCGGGCTGGTCCAGATTGCATTGCAGGAGGTCGTGTTCTGCCGAGCAGCCCACGTACCCGTATCGACCTCGCAACACCACGAAAGGTCGGTTGGTAAATCGGAATGCCAGTTCCTCGTTTGGGCCTGAGCGAGACAGGAAGGGGTTATCATGGTGTTTTCCAGAGGGAAGCAGAAGGAACAAAACTAACTGCAGGAGGATCTTGTCACAATTTTAACTTTCTTTACTGAGTGCTTTAGCAGGAGAGAGAGAGAAAGAAGGAAGATTCCATCTTCTGGTTCACTGTGCAAATGCTTGGAGTGGCTGGGGTACAACTAGAGTGCTAGGAACTCAGTCCAGGTCCCCCCAAATGCTGGTGGCAGGAACACAATGACCAGAGCCATCACCATGCCTCCCAGGGCCTGTGTTAGCAGGAAGCTGCAGTCAAAAGGGAACTTAGGCATGGAATCCACGTATGGCATCTGCTATGTTCTAGGTCTCACACTAAGCGCTCGTAAAACATCTAGATGTATGAGCATCTAAAGCAATGAGGAGTGAAGAAATTTTGCTCTAACCCTTTGTGACGTGTTAATCTATGTAATCCTCACTGCAATGCTCGACGGCTACCTAAGGGATGGACATCTCTGGTTTGCAGCCAAAGAAACTGAGGCTTACAGAGGTGGTCCGCCCGTTGGTGGAGCAAGTACCCAAACTCAAATCTCCGACGCTGACTCTTCCACTTCTTTTTAAAAAGCTCTTATTTCAGTCCCCTCTGAAAGCACCTCTGGCCTTGGCTCACCTGGGATGGTGGCATTGGCCATCAGAAGACCGTTGGCTGCGATGCCCAGGAAGCGCCCATTGGAGGACTGCAGGAGGATCTTGCCACAGTTCCAGTGCACACGGAAGAAGGTGTCCGACTCCATTGGGTGCCCGTCAGCCATCACTGTCCTGTGGCGCCTCTGGGGAATGTACCGGGACTCTTCACTTTCACTACTCGGTCCTTTCCCCACATCCCACCCAACCTTCTTCGTTTCTCAGGATTGTGCTTCATGATGTCTGAAGGGATGCTGTGGCTTCAGCTCTCCTTCTCACCCTAGTCAGAAGCCAGGTTATCAAATGGGCAGGAATGAACCTCAGCCCTGACTAGGCAGTCATTTTGAAATGCATTGTAGACACAAAAGTACACACTAAATTGTTAGCCAGAAATTCTTTGCAATATTGAGGTAGGAAATTATTTCTTTGGACAAGAAAAAAACAGTAACTGCTTTAAAAAAACGACAAATTGGACCCCATTAAAGCCAAGGAGTTGCTTTTTGAAAGACATCATTAAGCAAATGAAACTCCTACAAATCAATGATAAGACAAACAACTCAATGACAAATGAGTAAAAGATTTCACAGCCATTTCACAAGAGAAAATATACAAAGAGCCAGTCGGTACATGAGAGGTGCTAAATATGCCCAAAGACAAGATAAATGTGAATCAAAGTTACAATAAGATGCTCTATTTATCTGCTGGAATGACTAAAAGTATGCACATTAGCAAATGTGGGTGAAGACATGGAACAATTAGAACCCTCGTACATTACTGGCAAGAACATAAAACTGCACGGTCACTTTAGAAAACCGACATTGTCTTAGAAAGTTAAACTTACATCTACCATATGACCTAGGAATTCTACCCTTAGATGTTTGTCCAAGGCAAATGAAAATGTAGACCAACAGAAAGACTTGAATGTTCATAGCAAAATTATTCATAGTCACCTAAACTGGAACAAACTCAGGTGTGCTTCCATAGTGAGTGGAGAAGTAAATTATGTTCATGTTAGGAAAATATTATAGTATTGCAGTTACATATAATTCTATTATATTATAGAACACTTCTCATCCATGCAAAGGAATGAACTCTGATATATTCAGTGTCATGGATGCATCTTAAACTCATTATCCCATGCCAAAGAAGTATAATACTGTCTGCAGGAAACTGTAGGGTTAGCTGATCGACTCCATCAGAATGAACACAGGTCAGTGAGAACAGGGGACCATGGGCAAAGGAAAAGTGATTATGAAGGGCCAAGAGAAAATTCCTGCAGTGAGGGAGACATTCCGTAAGTGTGGTCTACTTGTGGCATGGTTGCATGGGTGCACACATTTGTCAAAGCACACTGAATTTCACACGTAAAAGAGTGTGCATTTTGTTCACTAGCATACACGTCACACGTAGTATCTTTATACATTGAATATTCAGTCATCCCTTGGGCTACATGAAAGATTGGTTCCAGCCCCATCCCCCACCACCCATGGCTATCAAAATCCATGGATGCTCAGCCCCTTTCTATAAGAAATGGAATCGTATTTGCTCCTCCACTCTGCTTCATCATCTCATATTCATGATGCCATGCAAAGTGAATGCTATGGAAATGTGGCTCTCCTGACTGCATTGCTTAGGGGATCAAGCAGAATAAAAGCCAGTCAGTGTTCAGAATGGGCTGCCCATCAGAGCCTAACCACGTTTGATCCACAATAGGTTGAATCCACTGACGTGAGTCCACAAACACAGAGGCCTATTGTATATAATTAACATACAATATACGTCAGACATCTGCCTACATTATGCTTCAATAGATTTTTTTTTTTTTAAGTAGAAGGCCATTAGGTGTCAACGGGTCTTTCTGGTCGAGGTCCTCCACAGTTCGCCTAAGTAGCCAGCCATCTACCTTGAAGAAGGAGAAAGCAAATCCGGAACAGGGAGAACTCTGTGCTAAAGGCTGCGCTCACACAGAAAGCCGAAGGCTTACCTGGGCTAGGTAGTAGCCATTGGCCGAACGCAGCTGCAAGGTGGGGCTCTTGCTGTCACATTCAAACTGGAACAAGGACATGGAGGTCAAGCGCTCAGAGGCAGCGCACACCTCGGCGTCTGCAGAGGAAGCGCTTGTTAGAGTCTGACCTCCCCCTCAGCCCCAGCATGTGTCAGAGCCAGCCTGAGCCCCACCCGCTCAGCCCCAGCCCACCCGCTTCTTCACACAGGAATTCTTCCACTCTCCTTTCTAACTTCCTTCCTCTTATGTAATACCATAGGAGTCTGGGGAAGACTCAGGCCACTTGACCCTCCAGCTCAAATCCCCACTTTTCTACTGTTCTCCATTGCACAGGCGATTCCTTTGGGATGCCTAGATTTCCCTTATTTCTAGGTTTGGAAACCCTGGCTGACCCCAAACACATCTTTCTCCTCTGTGCCGCTTGCCCTCCCTCCATGGCTCTGGTGGACCCAGGACTTGCCGTAGATGACTGAGATGAACCTCCGAGTCCTTGACCTGAGACTGACCCAGGCTGGGCAGCGCTGCAGGATGAACCACTCCTCGCCCCTCAGGGGATTAGAGCCCAAACCTAGAAGCAGATGTGTGCCCTGCGGGTACAGTGTGCCTCCTTCTCCATCACACAGGGCCACCAGGCCTCCAGGCCGCACTTGCATGTGAAAAGCTGTCTGGGACGAGGGCTGGGTGACCAGCCGGTCCACATGGGACAAGAAGTGGTGTGTTGAGGTCTCCAAGTGGTAGCATCCATCTTGGAAATGCAAGAGGAAACCACACTCCTCCAGGCATGGGATTGCTGCGTCCACCCAGACGCGACCCACCGTGGGGTCAGCCCGGGCGTAGGTGTGGCTGGTGGGATTGTACAGGATAACGTGGACGTGCAGAGCTGGCCGAGGTGTCCACATATGGTACGCTGAGAGAACCCTGGAGTTGCAGAACACATCCTCGCCGTTGGACTCCAGATACCGGCCGGAGATGATGCACTGGAGGGTCCACTTGCCATTCCGGTGGAAGCGGAGCAGGAAGCAGCCATGGTGGCTGCTCCTGGGCCGCCCGTAGCACACGCTGCCATCTGCCTCACAAAGAAGGTAGAAACCCTGCCAGCTCTTCAGTCGTACCACGGCCTGAGTCTCATGTTCATTGCTCACCAGCAGCTCCCAGGTCTGGGGTCATCACGAGGAAGAAGGGGGAAAAGTCAGTTCTGCCCAGAGACTCTACGAATGGACCCTGCCACCCTCATCCAGTGTTGTCATCAGACCAATCTCCTCCTCTGTGTCAGCCTTGGACTCTCCCTGCTGGGACAGAGCAAAGTGTCTCTGGGCGTGTCCACTGCTGGAACCACAGGGTCCTCAACACCCACTGTGAAGTTGCAAGTGCCCAGTTCCTCCAGCTTACAGAAGGGCAGCTTCTGTCCTCCTCTTTGGTACCCCCACTGTTACCCTTGGAGACTACGCTCAGCCAGCAATTTCATTGCCAAGTGTTACCTATCCAACATGGTTGGAGAAGAGCTAAGCTTCACAGGCAGGCTCCAGGCCCAGGCGTGAAGGTGGGAGCACCAGACTGTCCACATGCCATTGTCTGTTTTAGCTGTGATCAACCTTGTTAGAACGAGAGGACTTAACCCCTACCTTACACTGGGCCCATTCCAGTGGGTGCCTAGACTCTTCTCTAAAATATAGAACCCTGTCCCCACTGGAGGACTCATCCTCCTCCAGCACTGGCCTCACAGTGATGCCACTGGTCTTTCGCTGGATGCCCACAGTTCTGCCTTCCAGCCTCAGCTCCCCATCTTACTGTGATGGCAAAATCCACTGTGCGCTGGGGTGGAGAGAGAGGAGCAGCTGCAATGGGACAAGGCAGTAAGGCCAAGGTTGAAGCTTTACTTTGTGGAGAAGGTTCAGGGAGGACAGTTCAAGCAATGGCGACCTCATGAGCAAATGCCTGGGGAAGAATCTTGGGCTGACCGTGGTAAAGGCAAAGAAATGATCTGGTTGTAAGTACATCCCCAATGCTACACACACACACACACACACACACACACACACACAGCATGGTCACTCCGGAAAGTGGTTCCAGTTATGGGTTTGCCTTGTTACCTGTCGCTTGCCCAACGTCTTCGCTGTAGCAGTGACTGAATTCTTACATGCCTCACAGGTGAGGTAGGTTCCTGCCCAGGTGATAAGCCCAACTCTTAGGTCCTCAGCCTTGGGGTGTCGGTGTATCCACTCCACCTTATCCATGGGGCCAGCCCCACTGGTGATGACTCTGTCCAGCCCAGCCTTCCCCCCAGTGTTGAGGTCTCACAGGCCATAGGGCCTGGAATAAGGCCTTGTGTACCCACAAGAAGACGGCCCCAAAGGGACCTTCCCAAGTAGAGGCTGGCCTAGGGCCTAGCCCCTCTGTGACCCGGAGGCATTGTGACTGTGAGGGCTGCCTCTTATCCCCAGACAGGGCACTCTCTGGCTCAGAAAAAGTGGGTCCAGACCGCCAGTGTCTGCCTCCCTATGCCACACTGAACACCAAGGTAAGTTAAGAGGGTGAATTAGAACTGCAACCATGACACTAGGCAAGTCCCTACCTTTTGTTATTTCTTTCTGATGTTGACAGCAATACCTTTCCACCCCTCCCCCCGCTCTCGCCCAGGATGTGGGTTCTAAGGGCTTCCAGCTCTAGTATCTTTAAAAAGTGAAGATATCTGAGAAATATCTGGCAGCTTTTATTGCCCTTGGGAGGTGAGGTAAAAAAAAAAGTCTCAAAAGTTGCTTTGCGGAGAGCTGGGGAAACCCCAGCTGGCTAAACAACAGGGACCCAGCTGCCGGCTCTGAGGACAAGCTGTCTCAGCATCAGAGCGAAGACCTTGGAGAGAATACCCTCTTCCCCAGGAGAGGTACTGCTGCCGGACAGAACAGGGCTGGTGGGACAGCTAGTGCCACCAACCTTTCCTCGCCTCAGTCTGTGTCAGTGTCCCCTTCTCCCCTCCCTTCCTGGGAAGCACAACCCAGAACCAAGAGAAACTGACAGCATGAAGGTAGAAAGGACAAAGACAAAAAGCAATGATGGAGGTGGTGATGGATTCAAGTTGGCTGAAATGCAAAGCAGAGTGGATGGAGCCAACCCCACTTGGAGAACAACCACAACCCTGGCTCCTTCCACCTGCTTTCCCTTCCCCATAGATGGGAGTCTTCCCAGGTAGAAAGAGTCTCAGGGATGTGTGCCAGGGAACCTTTAATGCCCAGATGCCACCAACAGAGGACTAGTGCAAGAATTACCAGGATAATTAAATTCTTTTTGTTTGTTATCAAAATATAGTTAGCATGAGCCTTTCTCAAAGTGTATTTGTTTATTTGAAAGGCAGAATAGCAGATAGGGAAAGATAATGAGAGATCTTCCATCTTTGGTTCATTGTTTAAATGCCTGTAATAGCTGGGGCTGGACCAGCCTGAAGCCATGAATCTAAAACTCCACCCAGGACTCCCAAGTACTTTGGGCAGCATCTGTTGCCTTCCTAGACATTGGCAGGAAGCTGGGCGGGGAGCAGAGTAACCAGCCGTCCCACCTTTGGTTGATTTGAGAGGGAGGGAGAGGGAGGCAGGGAAGGACACTCTGCTGCTGGTTCGTTCTCCGCATGTTCACACCAACCAACCCGGCTGAAGCCAGAAACAGGGAACTCATTTCACATCTGCTGCATGGGTGGCATGGACTCAATCACTTTGAGCTATCACTATTGTTTCCCAGTGTGTGCATTAGCAGGAGGCCGGAATTGGGAGCACATAATCCCCTTCCTTGGGTAATTTTTTTTTCCTTTTTTTTTTTTTTCAAAAAAGGATTTTTGGAAGGGACATACACACATATGCATCTCCCATCCATTGATTCATTCCCCAAATGGCTGCAACAGCAGGGCTCGGCCAGGGTGTGGCAAACTCCATCTGTAACTCCCATGTGGGTGTAGCGGTCCAAGCTCTGGGGCCATCTTCCGTTCCCTTTCCCAGGTATGCTGTACAGAGAGCTGGATTGGGAGTGCAGAAGCTAGGACTGGAGCAGGTGCTCATATGAATGCTGGTATTGTGGGTGATGGTTTAACCTGCTGTGCCACAATGCAAGCTCCTCCTTGAATAATTTTTAAGACTTGCATTTTTGTTGGGTCTCACACCAGCTCTGACAAAGCCCATTTTCTGAAATGTGTTTCAGGATGTGCAGTTTTAAAATTATTATTAGTAGTAGCATTTTAAATTTTATTTTTGATGATGTTTACATAGTTGATTGATGTAGGAAGGCCAAGGGTTAGGGGAAAGTGGGTGAGAGCATTGTTTTCACATGTTCTTTTTTCTTCTTCCTGTATCAAGGGGAAAGGGGAAGAACCACACCTAGCCTCAGTACCCGGGGATATGGAAAAGCCACCCAATATTATCTTAGGGTTCCTGATGTGGAGCATGTTTCGAGGGTCCTGCTTCAATGGTTTTAATAGCTTGATGGTTATGAAATGCTGTTAATCTCATTGCTCCAAGGACGATGAAATCCCTCCAAGGTCCACTGGCTGATGTACTCCACCTTAGAGACTCCATTCACCCAGATGTTGGCTGCCAATGCTTGGCTGGGTAGTTGGTCAATTTGTTCTGCCCTCCTTCCTTTGTTATGGTACCAGATGTCTTCCACAGGCAGCAATGGATTGCCATATCCTCCATGTACATCTGAGTGTGCTGTCCACTGCTCCATCTAAGTCACTAAGGAGGCTCAGCTCTGGCACATGCCCTCCACGATCAGACCACAGATACTGCAATTCTCCCCATGGTTGGAGTTCTGAGTCCAGTGGTTCAGTTGGGGGAATCCCCAAAGAAACCTCATATGAAGTGATCCCAGACCTGACTCTTGTGTGCGCTTGCTGGTATGGGATCTGGCTCTGTCCTTCACCCATATCAGCCTATACACACACAGTGGTAGTTGCAATTACTGGGTCAGTTCTGTCTCTAGCCCTGTCTCCTATGTAAACCAATGGGTGCTACAGCTCAGCCCGACCTGGTGCACCATACACTTGGCCCTCATGTATACCAGCAGGAGCTGTGGCCTCGTCAGAATGACCCCAATAGTCCCCACTAGGCCCTGCCCCATCCTTCGTTCCTGTGTTTGTCAGCATATGCAGTAGACTGGTCCAGTCTGTCCCATATCCCATCCAGCTCTCATACAAATCAATGGGCACTGGAGCCTGGCCCAACCCAACTGACCCCACTATCCAGCCCACACTCATGCCTGTCCAGCCAGGTCCGCTCCCAGCCCTGGTTCTCATTTTCACCAGTGAGAACTGCAACCTATCAGAGAGGTGCCCACAGTTTCCCTACTGGGTCTACTTCCATTCCTGGATCTTGTACATTCCAGGTGGTTCTGCAGTCTCTTGACAGGATTTGACCCAAGTCCCAGCACATGCCAACGCAAAGCCTGACCAGCCTGCACCAACTCTAACTTATGCATACACCAGTGGGTAGTTGGTTACCCCAGCCTGGCTCTCCCCAATAACCCATACAGGCCAACATGTGTTGTAGCCCTGCCCAGACTGGTTTGTCCCCTTCCCAGCTCTCACACTTGCCAGTGGCTCAGCAGGGAAGCCCCACTGGGCTTGCACCCTGTACCCTCAGATTCCACAGGATGTTCACGGCTTGCCTCATCTTGGCATTTGCTGGCGGGTGCCAAAGGCTGGCCTGGCATATCCTCAGTTCCAGCTCATGTTCGTGGGTGCTGCAGCCTAGTCCAACCCAGCCAGCCCCGCCACTCCCAGCCCCAGCCCTAATGTGAATCGGCTGGTATTGTGGTCTGACCTGACGTATTCTGCGTCCTTTCTTGGTTCTCAGCTCTGCTAGTGGGTGTTATTAACTGGCCCACCCCCATTTACACCAGTGAGTACTGTAACCTGTCCTGGTCTGACTGCTCCCAGCCTTGGTTCCTGCATTCACCTGCATCCTGACAGAGTTCCCCAAGCTCCTCCAGCAGGCCTCCTCCCAGTGGCAGATCTCGCGCACACTGGTGGAAGATTTACATTGTAAAAAAGGATTTTGTTTTTACTGCAAAGTCAGATATACAGAGAGAGGAGAGACAGAGAGGATGAACTTCCATCTGATGATTCACTTCCCAAGTGACCCCAATGGCTAGAGCTGATCTGGTTCGAAGCCAGGAGCTTCCTCTGGGTCTCCAATGTGTGTGCAGGGTCCCAAGGCTTTGGGCTGTTCTCGACTGCTTTCCCAGGCCACAAGCAGGGAGCTGGATAGGAAGTGGGCCATTGGGACCATAACCAGTGCCCATATGGGATCCTGGTGTGTTTGAGGCTAGGACTTTAGCTGCTAGGACACTGTGCTGGGCCCAGACCTGCATTTTTAATGCACGTTTCTTACCCTTCAAGCCTAAAGTGCAAAGAATCAATCATTAAGGGCTACCATCCGAGGTAGCTGGCAGGATTGGAAGTAGAGTTACGTGTTTTAAGCAAGCATGTAGATTCAGCTTGGTACCTTGAGCAAAAGCTCCTTGGAATGGAGAAGGAATGAGATTTTGTCACTTGAAACTTCATGGTAATATACATATAAAGAAACCCTATGGCACTCCTGGGAAGAAGGGACAAGCCAAGCCAGACAAGGATGTGTGGCTGCATGTAGGGTGAGGCTGCTCCAAGCCTCCCGTGAGGCTCAAGCACCCAGGAACGCTGACCCCGCCGCACACAACACCATGTACAAACCACAGCAAATTTATTACCCAGTATCCAGTGCCACATCATAGCACCACCCGGAGTCCTCACCTGCCCCCCACCCCAAGCTGACCCCAAGGGTGCCCCAAAACAAGAAAAAAAAAGGTCAACCCAGATCCCTGCTCCTCCCTCCTCTGGAAGACGGAGCCTCGGTCAGGAAGCTCTTCCCTGGGGTAACCCCAGCAGGCAGGAGAGGGGACCCCGTTGTGGCCAGAGAGCAAGGCTCCAGGCTCCAACGACAGAGAACATGCAGGCAGGAGCAAGGGCCTGTGTGTGGGGCGAGGGTCAGGGAAGCCAGGGCACCGCCTGAGCAGTCAGGAGACGGGACTCCAGGGACACACGCAGGAGCTTCTGGGAAGCAGGGGCCGGCCCCTGGCTGGTTAGCGCTTCGACAGCTCGTGAGACAGCCAGTCCAGCCCATCGTACAGGCCCGTGCCCTGTGTGGCACAGGTGGCCTGCACGTACCACTGTGGGAAGAAGAGAAGGTCAGCAGCGGTGGGAAGGGGGCGAGGGGAGGCCTCCTTGCTCGACGCAGGCAGGGTGTGGAGCCGGGGTGCAGGAGGGTCCTCACCGTGCGGCTGCGCAGGTGCTGGAGGCCAAGCTTGTCTGTCAGCTCACTCACGGG